ACGAGCACAGCAGCATACAGCACTAGTGATACAGTATGGGCTGGCGTGATTAGCGAACCGACTGTAGACTATCTGGTCCAGCATGCACATATGTATTGCACGTACGCCAAACACACAGATCCAGCTACCGACCCACTCACTACATAATGTAGATTGCCCGCTATCTCCCTGTTAATATCCAAAGGTTAGGTGCGTAAACCTAGATATGTTCATATACATATGCATGTGTGTTTGCGCATATAAGCAACTAAATATACACCATCTGGAACCACACGCACTCTTCGCGCGAGCTTGGGTTCTAGCCTCTAGCCTAAGACAGCTGCCTCGTGCTCATCCTACGCTGCCGTTGCCAGAACTCGATCATCGATCTCTGATCGGTGAACCCCACATCCCTCTCAGTATTACTAACATGACATATGGCTGTCGGCGTTTGGCGGAATCGCGTCGGCCCCTTGTGTTTTAGAACTTTTGCAGAGACCCGACACTACCCCACACTAGACCGTAGAATCCATCGCACGGGATGCGCTTGCACGCGGGGTGTACACTACTCCGCTACCCCGCCTACTTCGCCGATTCGCAGTCATTGCGAACACGGGTGATGAAAACTCTCGTCACGGCGATGAGTCTAAATGGCTTGCAGCCCACCATTCGTTGACAGGCCCCGCGGTAGTGCCCATGATGGTGCCACGGCCATGATGATGGTATGTCTGACGGTGTTGCGAATGACGGTGACGCTCGACCAGCAGCAGCTGCAGGAGGCGAAAGAGCTCGCGGAGAAGGCGATGGAGAGGGCTGGTTGGGGCGTGCCGGGAAACAAAATCCGCATGGCCACGCACAAGGCGAGGGGCACTGTCCTGTGGGACGTGTTCGCCAAGAGCAGGTTGCGAGGCTTTGCCTCCTCCCGGCCTCGTTCTGAGGCTGCGCCCCCCTTTTCCTCCCCCATCTCTGGTTCATTCAAGCTTCGCGCGGCCCGCTTAGCTTCGACCGAAAGAGGTGCGCTCTCGACCCGCGAATCAAAAAAAACGTGTTCGCCAAGAGCCTGGAGCAGAACCCCGTCGAGATGTCTTGGGCCCGGCCTCGCAGGAAAAACTTCGGCCCCCAGACTCCCCGGGGGACGTCGCAGAGAGAGAGCCCCGGTCTCCTGGGCAGGGCGGCGCACCCCGCGAGGACTGGGCCTGTGCCGAAGAGAGGCTTAGGGCCCCGGCGATGGGAAGGAGTGTCGCGGGGACGAGTGTCGTTGGCCGTCAGGGGGGGCCGCGACCGACAATCACATGCGGCTGTTTTCGGCGGTGGACAAACCTCCCTTTACTAAACATCTGGACCCGCAAAAATAACGGCCGCGACGCCCTCTCGCGAACCGAAAACGGCCAATTCCTCAATCGACGTGTCAGGGTAGCAGGTCTATCCACCTCCGATGTCTGGAGCTTGAACAGAAGGCCTTGCCAGGCATGAAGCGCGGGGGCACAGTGGGGGGAGATTGCACACGGTCGCGGCGAAGCATCGCCCTGCGGGGCCCGAAACAGAACCCGCACCCGGACCAGGTGGAGCAGGCGGCGAGACACCCAAACGGACACCACAAGAACTCCGCGACAATACAACCTCATGCCTCATGTTCGTCCAAGGGACGCTCGATGGCCGTGAGCATGTGCCTCGGGAATGCGGCACAGTCGTCCCGCTGCTCGAGCGAGGCTGGCGAGACCCCCCTGCAGTGGTACAGCTCGGTCCGTCTCAACGGAGAGGCCGTCAGGTTGCACTGCGAAGCTGCGCAGAGTCCTCCAGGAGTCGCCGAACCACGCACTCCTGCCATCCCTGTTCAGCGACAGGCGTCACCCTGGCATTGCCATAGCGGCGCACGCAGCAAGGGCCAACGTCGCGGCACTCGACTGCACAAGGCAAGCCCTCGGAATGTTCCTGTGCCGACATCAGTGACATCAGGGCAGCGCTCCACAGCACGATTCGGCGCCTGGTCCTGCCGAGTCAACCAGCAATCGCTGGCAGCGGCACTCAGGCTGATGATACCCGTGGCCCTCGCCAAAACTGGCGTCTTCACAGCATGTAAACTGACTGACCCCCACAAATGTCCCCACCTCAATCCTCCAGGTATAACCCTGTGCGATGGCCTGGAGGAAGGGATGACGGGGAAGATACTGGCGGGATCTTCAACCCCTCGTTCACCAACCAGATGACCAACAAACAAAACGGACTCGATGACCGACGGTTGCGCCCGGTTCTTCGTATACCCGATGATGAGCGCATCTCGAGCAAACACAGCGAATACATCCAACCAACGTCCCACGGAATCTTCATCGATGGTTCCGTCATGCTGGGCTCGCCCACGACTAATCATGACCTGGCCATCGCAGCTGCCAGCATAATCAAACTATCTTCGAGGAGTCAAGTTCCCTTTGATACAACAACGGGCAGCAGGCGGGCAAGGTGCCCAAAACGAGCCAACTCTGTTAAACTTTGCCGAGCAGGGCAAAATACGCAACTCCACCTTTAAAATTGCAAGCGCTACATGTCGGCACACGATGCCACTACTTTGGCACGACGTTGGCCACGACATCCGTGGCCCCACAGACAGTCAGGGCATGCAGGGAAGACTGGCAAGCGTCCCGGACCCTCAAGCGAAGCCTCACGGGCAACACTGCCATCGCAACAATAGGTTCACCCCACAGTCTACCTCACTGCACGTCCGCGAAACCCGAAGTGTGCAAACTAGAGACAAGCACGGTCACGCGCGACGTGTTCTAGCTTCAGACCAGAAAAAATCATGCCACCCATACACCCTACTGGGAAAGAGTTTCAAGTATTCGGCCGCTCCGCAGGTGGCTGAAGGTCGCCAGGCCGCTGGAGATGGAGACCGACCCTACAACTGAATTCACATGTCGTGTGTTTGGGCCTGGCCACTGAGCGGAAAGACGAGATCAGGCCACTCGGGGAGCTTGCGAAGGACGTGCTCGGCGATACCAGCGGCGAGCTAGCGCTTCGGTCGCACAGGTGGAGGCCGCCTGCGTGCCACACACCACAGGCATCGGCTGGAACGTCGAGGTGGCGCTCGCCTGAGGGCACCGGGCCTGGGCCACGATTCCTTCAACATCCCGTTGCGGCAGACCGCGGCGGCGTGGGCCATCAACCCCACGCGGGCCTGGAGCGGGACTGCGTGCCGGAGTCTCCCCCCCTCAGGATGAAGGGGACCTGGGACACACAAATAAACGCACACAAATACAAGGATTCCCCCCTAGCTCCCCACCTCTTCGGGGCCCCTGGCTTCCCCACCCCCACTGCCCGCATGTTCCCATCGTTGCTGGGAGATCGACGATGGACTGTGTCTGTGTGTGTGTTTGTCCTCCTCCCGACAGGAGGCCCGTGCGCGCCCCCTCCGCGCGGCTCGGCCAGCGAAGCCCGCCGGGAGCCCGCGGGCGGCAGCTCTGCCCCAGAAGGGCCCGGGCGGGGGGACGCCAGGCGGCCGGCCGAGCCCGGCCTCGGCTCGGGCGGTCGCCAGCATGATGGGCGTGTTTTCCACCACCACCACCATAAGTTGGAGGGGGGGAGGAGGAGGAGGACGAGGAGAAGGAGGACGAAGAAGAGAAGGAGGAGGACCCCCTCCCCCTCCAACTTATGGTGGTGGTGGTGGAAAACAGGCCAATCACAGCAGGCCCCCGAGGGCGGCCTTCGAGGCGTCGGCCACGGCTGACGCCCCTGTCCGCCGCCCCTTTCTGGACGGCGGCCCTGCTCCTCCAAGAGAAAAGCCAACATGCTCAAAAATCGCCCCTCCTGGAGGACGCTCAAATGCTCAAATGCTCAAAATGCTCCAAATGCTCAAAATGCTCCAAATGCTCCAAAAAAAAAGCCAAGATGCTCAAAAAATGCTCGAATGCTTGGGACGCCTTCTGGACACTCCTCCTGTAGAGGGCCAGGCCCGACCACAGAGCCGACGCCCCCGTGTCCCTCCGCCCCCCTTTCCGGGCGGCGGCCCGCGCCCCTCCGCACCCGCCCCTGGCGCAGCGGGCGCGGCAGGGGCGGCCGTGGCGCAGGGGGCACGGTCGGCCCCGCCTGGCGCCGGGGGGGGGCGAGCGCGGCGCGGCGCGACGCCTCGGAGGGACCGGGCGGCCTCCCGCCACGCTGCGAGATGGCGAGGAGAGAGAGAGAGAGAGAGAGAGAGAGAGCCCCCGCGGCGAGGTGCAGTCACGACGGGTCTCCTCCTCACGGCCGTGGGAGGCCTCTCCGCCGCGAGCGCAGCAAGGAGAGAGCAGCGCCGTCGGGCCCCGGCGGCGCTGTGGCCACGGCCTGGGCGCCAGGCTCGCTCCAGCTCGGCTGCAGACATACGACATGGCGGGAGCAGCACACTGGAGGCACAAGGCAGAGTAAGAAGGGTGGGTGGAAAAGAGAGAGAGAGAGAGACGGAGAGACACAGAGAGAGAGAGAGAGAACGACGGAGCGGGAGAGAGGAAGAGGACGCGGGGAGAGAGAATGAAGACCTGGTCCCCGGGCATGATCGCGTCGTCGGGGTTCGCCTGGTTCCACGTCGCCACCGCACCGGAGCTCCGGATCTTGTTGACGGTGAGCGGCATCGTCTTCTGCTCCGAATTCAGCCGCCAGCCCAACCCCTGGTTAGCATCCAGCCTCGCGAGCCACCCCCGCTGGTACACGATCTCCGAAGTGCGCATCACGCGCAGCAGCATGGGCGGCTGGTATCCCAAGTGCTCCGCCGCATACTGGGACGAATTGGCCACCTTCGAGGACCAGCTGGAAGCGTCCTTCTGCTTATTCTCTCCCTGATCACTATCACCCTACACTTCCCTCCTCCATCCTCCCTTCTCCCTCTGCTCCTTCAGCCTCCTCCTCCTCCTCCTCCTCCTCCTCCTCCTCCTCCTCCTCCTCATCGTCCTCCTCCCCCTCCTCCTCCTCCCTCCTCGCACTCTCGCGAGCTCGCGAGCTCGCCAGACACCCAGTGCAGGCTGCCGTCAAAGCTAGCTCCCCCATCCGAAGGTCGTCGTCGATGAAACCCTTTCCTTCCTCACCCGCGGGGGGGGGCAGGTTGGAGGGGGGGCTCGAGCAGCCTGGCCTGATCCAGCGTCTGCATGAACTTCTCGTACTTCTTGTGAAAGAAGGGGGCGGAGTTGAGCTTGATGATCCGGTCGGTGGCCACGATCTGCTTGCTGGGGTTCGCCTCGTTCGCGTCGTTCCAGGCCGACAGGACGCTGTCAGGCTCGATGCTGTCGATTACGACCCCCGCTGAGCTGCCGTTCAGCTTCCAGCCGAAGCTCTTATTTGCCCCCGTCCGCAGGACGCGCAATTGTACTACCTGCTCGCGTTCGAAGACCAAATTGTCGACCGAATCCTGCACCCACCGGGGCCTCTGAAAAGCAAGTGTGATGTCCACGCTCGTCACGTTCGACGCGTTCGACCACAGCGACTCCGTCGCATCTCTCCGTGCCTTCGCGAACTGATCCTTGATGCGACTCTCGAAGGTCTCGGAGTTGTGGTGCCACCCGATCTTAGAGGCAACTCCCTGATCAGGGCCTATCCTCAGCCCTCCGCTGCCGCGAAATCTGGACCTCCGACCGCACGGCGTCGGCCCCTGGAAGCTCTCAACCCCATCCCCGGGACCGCTCTCTGTCGCGGGCCGTCCCCGACGGCCCAGGGGGGCGCCCGGGCGAAGAGGCTCCGGGACGCGGCCGAGATTTTGAGAAACCGTCTGTGCCTCGTCTCTGTTCGCGGGGCTCCCAGCGTTCCGCGGAGGAGGTGCCCCCCCGAGGTCCACGACAGTGCCCGGTAAAGGTCCCCTGATGTCCCTGGAGACCTCCAGAGGCCTCCGGGAACCTCAGGAGGGTCTAACTCGCAGCCCTCCTGCGTTGGGTTCTCGTCTTGAACAGAGTGCTGCTGCCTTCTCCTCCTTCCTTCCTCCTCCTTCTTACTCCTGTCTCCAACTAAATCATACCTGCCTCCTATCCTGCCTCCTACCTCGCCGTCCCTGGAAGCTACGAACTTTGAAACTCTCGCAAATGTGGTCGGCTGCTGGGTGGTCCAGCGTCGTGCAGCGCGTAAGGCTTCTCTGGAAGCCCTCGTTGGCCAGCTTGGGGCTCTCTGGAGGCCGTCTTGGAAGTTCCAAAATGATTCGGAAAGCTGTGGAGAGCTTCCTATGCTTCAGAAGGACCACGTAGGGCCAATGAGGCACATATGACCGTCATGCTGATGGGACCGTCAGGCTCATACATAGGGTCCACTACGCCCGAGATGACTCATAAGGGCCATGAGGCCCCTGATGGTCGAACAACTCATGCGGGCAAGTGCTTATATCCATGCGGTTCACAAGGCCCGCAAGGCCAACGTACCTCATGGGGCTGGTGGGGGAGCTCAGAGGAACTAGTGGTCTTATGAGGAACCATAGCCTCCATAGGTCCAATAAGGGCCATGAGGTTCACATGGCCCAGGGGGGATCACTACGTCAGCGGCCGCCATGCACCTTTCGCCAAAAAAGACAGCACCACATAGCATACACCAAATAGCTTGCACCACATGGATTGCGCCACATAGCTTACACAATGGAGCTTGCACCGCACTGCGCGCACCACATGGCTTCCACCACGTGTATGACACCACTTAGCGTACACCGCACAACTTACCAAACTTAAAGCATACGTGGTATGTGTCTGTATGTGTAGATGTATGTTACGTGCGTTCGTGCAAATGTGAAGTTATAGTTATTAGAGGTTGGGGGCTAGATCGAAGTGAAAACGAGGCTCCCTTTACCAGGAAATTTGTTTCGGTTTCGTGTTCGTGTCGTGCGGGCGGGCGAGGCGAAGCTGCACGGGCAGGCGAGAGGGATGAACCCTCCTCTGGCTACGGAGCCGCCGGGCCAAAAGGCCGCCCCCCCCCGGGTTGTCCAGCGGTGGCGGAGGGTGTCCCGCCGTGGTGTCCCGACGGTGTCCTGTGGTATCCCGTGGTGTCCCGCGGTGTCCCGATGGTGTTCCGATGGTGTCCCGAGGGGGTCCCGAAGGCGTCCCGATGGTGTCCCGTGGTGTCCCATGGTGTCCCGCGGTGTCCCGATGGTGTTCCGATGGTGTCCTGGTGGTGTCCCGATGGTGTCCCGTGGTGTCCAGATGGTGACCTAATGGTGTCCCGGTGTCCTGACAATGTCTCGGTGGTGTCCAGATTGGTGTTCCGATTGGTGTCTCGATTGGTGTCCCGATGGTGTCCCTGTGGTGTCCCTGTGGTGTCCTGGTGGTGCCCCGATGGTTGTCCCGGTTGGTGTCCCGATGGTATCCCGATGGTGTCCCGATGATGTCCCGATGGCGCCTGCCAAGTTGATCGCCACCGTCACCACCATCACGACCAGCATCACCACCACCACCACCACTGTCATCACCACCAGCACCACCGTCACCGCAGCTGTTCGGCTCCAGCAAACACTTTGCACGACCCACACCATCGCGCTGCCATGTCCAACAGGCGGCGCGCGCCCCCTCGCCGACGCCCTCCCCCGCGCCCCCGCGGCGCCCAGCTTTGCTTTGCGCCCTGGCGCCAAACTCTGCCAGCGCCGCTGGGGCATAGAGGGGTCGCGCAGTGGAGACCCAGCGTTTTCGAGCGCGCCGCGGACTCCTCCTCCTCCTCCTCCTCCTCCTCCTCCTCCTCCTCCTCCTCCTCCTCCAACTCCTCCTCCCCCTCCTCCTCCTCCAACTCCTCCGCCTCCGCCTCCGCCTCCGCCTCCGCCTCCGCCTCCGCCTCCGCCTCCTCCGCCTCCGCCGCCTCCTCCGCCTCCGCCTCCTCCTCCTCCGCCTCCTCCTCCTCCTCCTCCTCTCCGCCTCCTCCTCCCTCTCTCCTCCTCCTCCTCCTCCTCCTCCCCCTCCCCTCCCCCCCTCCCCTCCCCCTCCCCCTCCCCCCCTCCCCCTCCTCTTCCTCCTCCTCCTGCGTCGCAGCCTGCTTGAAGGAGCCGCCTCAGGGCATGGGAACAAATGCCTGGCGCATTCCTAGAAAGCGCGCCCCACTTCTCGCGGGGCAACTGCTCACAAATGGCCTGGGTCCGCTGCAGGGGCTCGTCGACGCATCACGTCGAGGCGAACATGTTTTTTTTCCGGACGGTTGCGGGTAGGCACTTTGGGGAATCCTGTTGCGCGTCTCGGGGGCGGCCAAGAGGGGGGTGTCCAAGAGGGGGGGCGCGCAAATCATGGCCGGCGGCACGTGCGCGGCCCAGGGTGGGGCCAGGGACGCATTTAGATAAGAAGAGCCGCCATGAAATCCGGGGAGATCTCATGGCCCCCGCCATGACATCCACCCCCCCCCCTCAGTCATCACCCCCCTCTAGCCTGGGCCCGACTCTGTCTCTCCATGGGAGCCTCGAGCGAGTGGTATCGAAGTGATTGTTCTTGCAGTTGGGCCGCATCGGGCGGTTCCTCCTGCTCCTTCTCGCCTCTTCCTGCTCCTCTTCCCCCTTGGTTCTCGCCTCCCCGGTGAAGTGGCGAGTCCAATCCACTCTGCTGCCTTCGAACGCCCCTCGCAGGCGGGCGCTCCTGCCGCAGCGCGCGCGCACGGACGGCCGGCGCGCGCCGGAGAGGGCGAGGCCGGACCCAGAGATCCGACGTCGTGATTTCTTCAACACTGAAGGGGCCCTGCGACACAAAAAGTAAATACACACAAAAAAAGGATTCCCCATATTTTCCCATATTTTCTGGGTTTTCGTCTTCCCCCTCACTTCCCATATTTTCCCATATTTTCCGGGAAATCGACAATTAATTGTGGCTGTGTGTTTTTTCCCTCCTGAAATACGGGGTCCCCCGAGGTCTCGACCCATTCCCCAGGACCGGCTCTTCGTCCGGAGTCGTCTTTCGACGGCCCCGGGGCCCCGCGAGGGCCTCGAGAGGTCGAGAAGTACGAAAAAAAAGCCTGCGCCTTGGCTTCTTCACTGCGTTGTGGCTCTCTGGGGGGGCGGCGGCAGACACCGTGCCCGCCCGCCGTCGCCGCGCGCGGGGGGCGACCGCGAGCACGCCGAAAAGGCAGCCCCCCCGCGGAGGGGAGCAGGGGCGCCGCCACACGCCCAGCAGCAGCGAGGGGGGCCCCCCCAGGCACGCGAAGGGATACACCCTGCGAAATGCTTAAGAAATCATGGGTTAAGAAATTCATAGTCTCAGAACTTGAATAAAACCCAAATTGTCCACTCAAATCTTAGGATTTACATTGGAACATTAAGAATAATCAAGACTCTGGCCAAAAAATTAGGTTTTCTTAAGCATCGCCTAAGGTGTACACACTTTTTTGGTCGGCGGGGCGAGAGCGAGTCCCTTCTGCTAAAAGCTAGGCGGGCTACGCACAGCTTTAAGTAGGGAGACGGGGCACAGGAAGGCGGGGCCTCAGGCGGCCGGAGCGGGCGGAGCCCGGGGTGCAGGCGGTGCCGAAGAGCTTGCACAGGAAAAGGTACGCCGCGCGAAGAGATACACACAGAGGTCCCAGGAGCCCCCCCCATTTCCACGCATTCTCTGCGCTTTTGTCTTCCCCCCATTTTCGCGCATCTACCTGGGAATCGACAATTTAAAAACAAAAAAAACAAAAAACTGGGAATCGACGATTCACTGTGGCTCTGTGTGTTTTCCTCCCTCCTGAGTGAGGTCGGGCATGTCCCCCTGCAGTCGGACGTGGGAAGAGAAAGGAGACATGCTCACACGACCACGGAGACAAATCAGAAATCATCGAAAGACCGTCCCCGGATTACCTTTTTACTCTGCTTGAGTATTCCTCCTGTAGAAGGACACGCCCGACTTACGCCCAGCACTGAAGGCCCCCAGGTGGAGGCGACCCCGAAGCATGAGTCAGGGGCTACGCCAGCTCTGCGAAAGGGGGGCCGTCCTTTCTGCGGCGAAGCCGTCGCCGCCCGAGCTTCCGACGGAGGGTCAGGCGGTCTCTTGGTCAGTATCAGAGCCAGCCAGGGCTTCGGGGCCAGGCTCCGCCAGCCCACCGCGGCCACGTGCGCCGCGGTGCCCACGGCGCCCGTGGTGGCGCCCGAGCAGCCGATGGACGTCGAGAATCCGGCGTAGCTCGGGTTGTCATCTCCGCCGGCTGCGGGTTCCAGTGTCGCCAGCTCGCAGCAGCCGCCAGCGGCCGTGCCCACGGCGCCCGCGGCGTCTGCCGAGCAGCCGATGGACGTCGAGAAACCGGGCCCATCGAAGGCGCCGGCCGCGGTGAAGGACGAGGCCCCAGCGGAGGAGGAGCCCGCCCTGGACTGGATCGGCCAGGACGACACACGCGCTTTCGAGTTTGCCACGGGCGCGAGCGCAGAGTTGGGCGGGAGAAGCGCCGAGGACGTTGAGGCGCAGCGCGCGCGGAGGGCGGGCGCGGCCTCGGCCTCGGCCTGGCCCGGGCTCACCGATGAGCCCGACAACGCGCATCTGTTCATGCAGATCAGCACATGGAGACGGCTGGGCGATGCAGCGCCGCGGGGTCTAGCACGCGCACCACCGCGCCGTCGACATCCCTGACAACGTGAAAGCGGCAGCGAGGATCGAG